GCACTTTGGATACAATTTTGTTATTCCCGCATATCCACGTCCTGATGCCAGCAACTGGATCTGCCTTGTATGTGATCCTCTGAGAGATGAACATCCAAGCGGTTGTATGATGCTGCTCCCAGGGGGGCTCACATCTACCACCAATTTATGCAAGACAAAGCCCCTCATGGCTGCAGGACAGAAAGCAGTTTCCCTTGCTGCGAGGAGGCATCAAGTCGATTGCATTCGACAGTAACGTAAGAACATTCAGTTTTATAGCATTAGAGAGCCCCATAAGTTTCGTGTGTGTATTCTCGAAACCCTACACTAATCGAAAACTTGCTTTAAAAGAAACCCTAAAACTTGCTTTACAAGAAATCGTATAATCAACATTAATACGATAACAAACCGACAAACATAATGTCGTTTCTTAAGCCGACGTATAAAAAAAGTTTACGTGGGCCAAAATTACTTCCTTTTGTAATGTTTAAAGTGACATTAGAGAGGTTTCGTGTGTATATTTATATTCTCAAAGTTTCAACCCTAAACTAATCGTCTTTTTTTTTCCCCTAAACTAATCGTGTCTAGCTAGATCTCCTTTCTCTCCGTCGGCCAATAGATTGATTGCTGATTTGGTATGGGAAAAGGTCGGTCGTTTGTTCCAATTATTCTGAATCTTTGTCTGTTGTTTGGGAAAGAAGATTAGGGTTCTAACTCCGATTTGTTTTCTTTTAGGTCGTGAGAGATTAGCGAAGGCGCCTTCCGCGACGGTGGTGTGGTGGGACATCAACAGCTGTCCGATTTCTCCTGGTTATGACCCTCGCTGTGTCCGTCAGAGTATAGAATCGGCTATGAACAAGTCTTGTGGTTTTTCTTTTGGTGTTGAAGAAGAAGTGACCATCTTTTACATCCAGACGACAGCGAAGACCTCTATGACTTTGGAATCGTTATGATGCACACCGACTTCTCCGGTTAGTCTTTTTATCTCTTTCTACCCTTCTCAGAGAATAATGATCAAAAAAATTAATCTCTTTCTACCCTTCTCAGAGAATAATGATGGATCTTGGTATTTTCTAGGTTTAGGGAGTATTTTTCAAAACATGTTAACTTGGCTAGATCATAATCCACATCCGGCTAGGGGCATGCTCATATCCGACGACCCTGCTGCATTTTTGTATGTGCATTCGTTGGACGAAGGACGATCCAACTCTGTTATTCCCGCATATCCACCTGAAGATGGCACTTCTTCTGGAGTTTGGCGCTGGAAAACCATACTGGAAGAGGCTCCTCTTCTCAAGACACCAAGCCAGATGCTCGACCACAAGTGTGCTGGGGAACCTCGCTATATTTGTACGCTATGCAACTTTAAGATCGATGACTATGAGGATTTCGCCGAAGATCTCTTTGGAGATGCTCATGACGATCAGGTAAGCATCTTCCCTGCCTTGCCTCGCCTCCTCGTATTATCACATGGTATCTTCCTCACTCTTTTCCTTTTGTAAGCATATGTATAGGTTTACTCACTTCCCTCCCAATGAGATTGACATCTTTGTCCAATTTCGGAAAGACAAAGTCCGAATGATAGAGATGCTAGAGTTAGAAGAACAAGAGAGCCTTTCAAGTGAGCATCCTGACAAAGATGATGCGCAATCAGAGGTAAGTCTTTAATATCCTCCAAACTGTCTCAAAGAGATTCTGGTTGGTTTTACTACTGACTTTGTTTCATCCTTGTAGGAAAACCGC